ATTGTACTTGAAAAATGCTAATAGCTTTAAATATACAAATCCAGTGGTTATTACCCTTCCTCTGGCAAATCTTCCAAATTTCCAGTTTCAATCACATATGAACCTAATGACTTCAATAACATTTCTTACCTCCTCTGGCCGCCAATTCCATTAGTTCTCAAATCTCTTCTTTACCCAAGTTGTAGCATGAGCATTACTACTGTAGTAGTTCTGCAAAGGCTTTCCTCTAGTTTCCACTTTTTCCTACTCTTAATCTCCTACCTTTAAGCCTTTCATGGATTTCCATAATAAATTTTCATTCTTCTAATAGTATTTACTATATCATGTGCTCCATAATCTTCCTAAGCCACATTAATTCTTCCCAACGTCTTTATAATATTTTATTCATAATACTTATATGCTGAACATATTCAATAGTTCATCATCTACAGTGTATTTTTCCTACTAGGTTATGCATTCAGTGAAAACAAGAAACGCACCTTGTTCATTTTTAGATCTCCCAATCTAACAATGCTGTATGAAAACAAAAGACAAAACCAAACAAGGATACCAACCAACAACAAAATCTAGGCATCTTAGTCACTAATTTCAAAGTTCAATTCAAAACACAATGAAATTTGCAAGGCAATCCATCAATTGATCCTGCATACACCAGCAATGAAAACCAGAATATGTGCATGCAGAAGCAGTGCAATATCCTACAGAAACATATGTCATGTTTAAAAATTAGAAAATAATATGACATTGCCACAAACCATGTGCATAAAATCGAAGACCTTGACTGATAGTCCTGGATAAATAGGAAGTAATAAAATGTTTTGGAATTGGAAAGCTCACATATAAAAAGATGTTATTTCTTTAAAAACTAATTAATAAATCCAAACCATATCTAGTCAAAATTATAGCAGGATTTTCAATGGGCTTTCTCAAACTAATTCTAAAATTATATTTAAGAGCCTATGTGCAAGATTTTAAACAAGGACAAGAGAAAATTTCATCAACCACAACATACCATAATGCTAAATTCATTGGAAAAATAAGACACTAGTGGTTAAAAAAATAGAGACCAATTAAACAGAATCACATCAATTCCCTGAAACATGAACATTTGTACACAACTAAACCTATAATTTCAAATCCGTGAATAAAGGAGTTCTTTTAAATAAGTAGGATTGACATAATTGGTTAAAATATATTAAAGTTAAAGAAAATTAGACAAGGATATATAGAAAGTGTATATGTATAAAAGATACACAAGCTAACAACTTCAAAAAAAAGTTATTTTTGCTGCCAGACTGTCAAAAATGTAAAAGTTATACTCTCTTCAGTATCAAGGTGAGTTTGAGAGAATTGAACCCTGTCATACATGGTTGATAGAGGGTTCAACTGGAACAGTCCTTGGTATACAACATGTAATATTTACTAAACATTTTATACTCTTTGAACCAAGTATTCCACTTGGGGAATCAATCCTACAAAAATACACATATGAGCAGCAACAGACACACCATGGGTACTCACTGCAGGCTTGATTATTATAACCAAAAATCAGAAACAATGGAATAAACCTGCCCAGACTTATTTTCATCAACGAGTCAGATAACAGAATGAATTTCTGTTCAGGTAAAAAAAAATAAACTGTATGAAAATGTAAATAAAATATTGCCAGATTGTTACAGTGTAAATAATGTTTTTACTTGTGAGGAAGGTAAAATGTTGACAGCAGAGTGGAGGAAAAGAAAACTATCACATTGTATTTCCCTTTTGTTTTAATGTTGTACAATTATAGAATGCATTGATATGGTGCTTATCATTTTAAAACAAGCATTAAAAGAATACCCAGAATATGTTTACTTAATTGCACAAAAAAATGCACAAATAGTTTGAATAACTAATAACTGGTCATCAACTCATGCAACAAATATATATTGGCAAAAATCCTGTACCAAGGATTAAATTAGGCAGTAGTAACACAAGAATGAGACAAAGCTCTGTTCTTATGATTATCCAAGAATCATTAGGAATCCAGAAAGGTAAGTGCTTGAACTACAAGGTGACAACTGCTATAACAGACATTTTCAGGATGTTGACATACTCTTATTGGAATGCAAGTCAGTTAAGGGAATGCAAGTGAAGTAGTTTTTTTAAGTGAATATTAACATTCCTGACAGACAAGTGAGATGAGGGTGGGCAGAGTCATTCTGACTTGTGGTCATAGGTTGTGCCACTGTTTGGGGTTAAATTCCAAACCCCACTCACTCCTCACTTAAAAGCTATCCCACCTGGATTAAGTCACTAACCCCCCCACCCTTTACCACTATGTGCCAGCTGTAGAATGGCTATAACAATTACACCCACTCCGTGGGCACACAAAGAAAACTGAACAAGGCCATTCATAAAAATCTTAGTATAGTACCAGGAATATATGTTTTAATAAATACTTGCTATTTTCTACTTATTATCTAAAAAGCCAAAGAGAGCATGATGTGTTCTAGAAACTACAAGAAGGTTGATACCATTTAGTAGCAAAACTATGCATCATTTACTAAAATACAGTGAAATATAAATCCCTGTTAACCAAGTAAGTGCAGGGCACTTTACCTCAACATATCTGATTTTGTATTTCTTTACTTGCATCCTAATAGAAAAATTATCTTATGATCAATAAAAGAAACTTTAATATATAGTCAATGGGATTTGCATATTTTCCTGGTTAATTTGCATAAAGGAAAATGAAATTGTTTACTTCAAACATTTAAGGCTTCCACAGTTAGCCTCGAAAGCAATGCACTGTCCTTACTCATCACGAAAGAGAAAATACTAGTGATAGTTCTTGGCTTCTTTAGTGATAACAGAAAGGCAAAGATTAGAGTTTTGTTTTGTTTTTTGAGAGCAATTAAAAATTTTTTTTGCCAAATTTTATGTGTTTACTTTACATATTATTTATTTATACAAAAACCAACCTCAGTAACCTGGCCCTAAACTTTTGCTTCTATTGCTGTAACTATTTATTAAGCCTTCCATGTTGAAGCCCATTCGTTTTAATGAATTGGAATGCAACAGAGAGTGTGATATAAAATTGTTAATGCATGGAAAAGAAATTAAATTTGATCATATATACAAATGATAAAAGCAGTTTCAGGTCCTATGTATATAATAATGCTATTATTAAGACAACTTATATGTTTGTATCAGCACATAGTTAAATGCTTTCACACAATTATCATAGGAGAAAATATTGTAAATCATGAAAACCAGGTAATAAAAATTACATATGACCTAATTCGTAGCTTGTAATATCAGATTTCTAAAATTAAAACTGTAGTTGAATATGAAATGCAAAAGGTGTGAGTTTATTTTAATAGTTTTAAAATTGAATTGCTTATGTTTACAATCAAAATTATTTACAAGAAATTTTACTGATGTGAATATTAAATATCAACAAAAAATATAACATTTAATGACTGTTTAAAGGCATAACTGATTTCAACATGATAAATGTAATTGAGACAATACCATTATTACTACAACTAGTACAATTAACAACTTCTGCTACAAGATTGATATATATTTTGTCCAAAGAGCTTTAGCCCATTGAATATTGATTTCTATCATGCGGCAAAAGTTTTCCATAGTGATGGAACTGGAAAGCATTATACTGAGTGAAATAGGCCAGGTGTTGAAAGACAAATACCATATGATCTCACCTTTAACAGGAAGCTAAACAACAAAACAAACAAGCAAGCAGAAAAACAAAGACACTGAAATAGAGAACAAGGGGACAGTGACCAGAGGGGAGAGGGAAGGGAATTTAAGGGGAAAAAGTGGGAGGGATTTGGAGGAACAAATAGGAAGGACACAGGGATGAGAACTAAGGGGGGTGGAAATGGGAGGGAGGTGGGGAGCACGGGGTGGGAGAGGCTGGGATGGGAGAAATAGACAAAAAACTGTACTTTAAAAATGACTAAATAAATTTTTTAAAAAATTAAATTAAATTATAAAAGGAAATAAAAGAAAGTTTTCCATAGTGAATTAAGATTTTTAAAATTATAAAAAGATATACCAGTATATTCCAAAAAAATTGCTGAAGCTTGAATGTATTTTCCATCAAAAATCAAATATGGCACAATAGTTATTTTCTAGAGTTCATTAATAAAATTGGGAAGAGATTATTAATCTTCAGAGTGTTAAATTGAACTGGCAGTGAAAATTGATCAAGCTTTTCCTGTCTCAAAAATACCCTTTGGCTGCTATTGATCAAGAGTTTGGGACACTATTATAATTCATCTCCAAACACAAAGAATGTGAGTTAGAAATTGTTTTTAAAAGATTTATGAGGTGGGAGCCAAAAATGGACTTTATTTATTGAAAATATTGTGTATTTATTATTATATGTTTAAACTTCAGTCACTTTCAAAATACTCTCCATTTGATGTAATACACCTATCAAGACATTTTTTCCACTGCTCAAAATGGTTTTTGAACTTGTATATTTTGATGCTTTTTAGTGCTCCTGCTGTTTTTTGTTTCACCTCTTTCACATCGGCAAAATATTTCCCTTTGAGGATTGTTTTCTTTCCGGGAAACAAAAAGAAAGTGTCTCCAGGCAAAATCAGGTGAACAGGGAGGGTGGGGCACAGAGATCATGATGTTTTTGGTAAAAAGCTTCTGAACACTCAGCGTGGTGTGGGCAGGTGTGCTCATAAATCACCCATCATGAAATGGGCAAATGCAGTGAAAGAGCCTTCAAAAAAATTCACTGAAGCAGAATGCAGCCTCTCACAACACCACCAGCAGGTGCACTGATCCTGAGGCGTTCCTAGATCACTCACCTAACAAAGGAAGCCTGTAGTAGAAGGGGCAGCCTTCCCAAAGTTAATTCCAGTGGGTTTTTTGGGGGGGGTCCCCCATTATATTATTTAAAATATACACATGACTTAGCACCTAGAGGATGTCTTGTGGACGTGAGTGTTATTGTGGAGATCCCCAGGAGGACGTACCTGGCTAGGCTGAAGGCGTCGTCGATCAAGCCTGCTCGATTACTGACAGAGAGAACCTGTGAGGTCAACCAGGAAAAAATGGAATCGCTTAGGATTAAAATGGCAGATTCATGTATCAAAACAGATCTTCGATGAGTAAATCCAGTTTACCTCATGATTCCTGATTAATTGATCAATCAATAACCTCCAATTCCTTAAATCATAGTTGACTCTGAAATAGCCAGTTTGATTGATGTTGCCAAGCAACCAGCTTCCTTTGGCCAAAGAAGTTATTCTGTGGTGCTCTGAAAATAACATTTTGGGGGTAGAACAGGCTTTAAACTTTAAAAGTTAAAATGGTATAAAGTATGTTTCCTTAACACCAGATATTAGAATACAAATAATTTAAAAAGAACACCATTCTAAATACTTAATTAAAATCTACTCTTTAATCAATTAATCACTATATCTAGAATTTGCTAGAAAACGTTTAGTTGATTACTCACTACCTCAATTAATTTTTTCTTATAATTAACATTTTTGTTCTTGACAAAAGTCCATAACTTATACAGAGTTTTTTTTTTCAAAATAGGAAACACAATCAAGGAATATACTACTGTATTTGTGTGTCTGCTAGCTAATCTGTGTGTGAAAATGTGGCCAGAATAAAAGAAAAGGTTTTAGGTGCATATCTACTTATCTTGTTCAGTGAGAAACTGATTACCATAGAGCTCATTTGTTTGAAAGTCAGTGTGGTTCACTGCCTTTTTTCTTGTGCTTTCTTGGAAGTACTAATAAATAACACTTTCCAGCATCATCAATAATGCTGGAAATAGGAACCTCATTTGTTCGACTTTAATATCGCTACATATAATTAGAACAAAGAGAGAAAACTCTGCTTATTGAAATCATTTTGTTAAATGATAACTTGATTATACTCTCCAGTAATTCAATTAAAGCAGACCAGTAAAAAGCAATCTTATAACTTATATATTTAACTCCATCAAGGAGAGAGAGAGAACTCCATTCACTTTTAATGTCAGCATTTATTGATTTCAAAGAACCTTAGGTCACAATTCTAATCATTTTTGTTGATATCCTTAGGACTCATGCTTCACAGAAGTTACATAATGTATGAAGTTTACTTAAAATTCATGTTTTATACACATGTGCACACCTGTGTGCACATGTACCACTGGTCTAATTTTTGTAGTTACTGGAAACCAGAAAATGCATCATAGAAACTGTGTCATGTCTGAGTTTGAAGCACAACCTCCAAATCTCATACTTCTATCAAGGTTTTTACACATCTCACTACAACACAGGTTTTATTTATTCTTTAAACACTAACTTTAAAGAGTACTCTCAGATAGAAGCCCACAAAAGAGAAAAGGTCATACCACAAAAATTACTGGGTGGGCATCAGGGACCATTACCTGCTTAGGTCTGGAATGGGATGGGCTAATCTAATGCATGTTACACATATGCAATTTTCAAAAATGTATAGTCAAAAAATTCTTAAACATAAACATACACTGAGCAAAAACATCTAGTCTTTAAGGCTTCAAATAGCACTTCAACTTCTTGCCACCTTTATAAATAGTATCTGTTGGAACATAAAAAGAAATGAGGCAAAGGAAGGTTAACTGAATTGTCCAAGAAAGCTGGAAATGGTCCACCTCGGGTCTCCTGACTTCAGTGCCTGTTTACTACGTCATGCTCTGTTGATACAAGATGATACAATGCTTTCACTGTACCATGATATACATTTTCCACATTCTTATATTGATTCAAAGGAGAGGGGAGAGCACTGAAAACAAGAATTGGAACAGGAATAGAGAAGATAAGTTCTACTTCCACTTTTCCTATATATGTGTGTAAATGTTTCCAACTTCAGCCATTGATTCTCTTTTATTCACAATTTCCTTATCTTTAAATAACCTAAGGGCCAAATGATAGCATTTAAAGTCCCTTCTAATTCTATGATTAAAAGAAGGGGCTATTTTTCTTAGTTTGAGATTTTTACCTAGCTTAATCCATGGTACCTCGGAAAATAAAACCATCATCTATTGCTACAAAATATTAATAGCTTTCCAAGTTTCCGATACTTTGTATATTTTTTCAAAAATTCAATGTGTTTATCCACAAAATTTCTGTAAAGCTTTAAAATATCATCTATTTTACAGATTTAAAAATAAAAACAAAAATACAGCAGTTTTAAAAATAAAGTAATCTTATAAAGACAGATTTGAATTAGTCACACCTGAATCCACTGAGGAAAAATTAAGATTGAAATATTGAGTATTACTTTATTAAATTCTTAACTAAAACCTGAAGGATGTTATTGTTTGTGAATAATTTAATGCATGCCTTTGTTATAAATGAAATCTTTGGAAAGATGATTCCCTAAAAGATATTGTAATAGGTTTTTAAATATTTTTTCCTTCTAGTTAATTATATCTCTAAATAGTTCTGAAGAACATTTGAAAATGAACTAATGGCAAGCAATGAATATTAAAGAGATCTTTTCTAGCGGTCTAATGAGGTATAGTAGTTGGTAAGTACCATAATAAAAAGTATGAAGGTTATATTTCAAGTGTTAGTAATAACAGTTAAAAATGGTATTTAGAATATACCCAAAATGGCATAAGACTTAACTGTGTCAAGGCATAGAGTAGTTGGAAGTTTTTGTTTTTATATGCATTATTTGGAATAACAACAGGAAAGAGATTAGGCCTTTCTACCCAACACTGGCTGGTTACAGAACAATCAGAATTTAAAACAAAAATTCAAGCAGGGTAACAATATACAACCAACTCAGGTATAATAACGCATGCTGGTTTTCTCACTAAACTCTTGAAAATGCTTAAGGAAAGCACTGCAGCATTATGCTCATTTTTAATGTCACTCCTATTTTTCAGCATTAATTTTTTCTTTATTTTGAATCTTTTCTAACATTTGGCATTATTTTTATTCCCTTCCATTACATTTTAAGTTATAGCCAGTCAGCATACAAGTTACTATGTTTTAAATGTCTCCATCCTCAGTATTTTCATAATAAAAACAAGAGATAAATCCTTTTGCCTACTTTCAATAACTTAAAAATTGGCTTTAAAACTACTTTTAGGCTATAGTGACCTATACTATAACTTGGAATTAATTAGATATTCATTTAAACCATTTAAAAAATTGGCGTGTCCAGAGCTTATAATGATTCAAATCAAATTTACAGTCCACACTGTTCATGACTTTGCCTTAGTATTTTGTAAGGTTAAATCTATATGACTGATAATGAAAAATTATAAAAACATTGATTTGATTGCTATAATCAAAAGGTCATTTTTACATATGTTGACAATAATTGACCAGAATATTTTCTTAATATTTTTATAGTAAATATGTTTCACTGACATTAATTGACTATATGTGGGGGGGGGAGGAAAAGTTACAACATACAGGGTTGGACAGAAGTGGGTTTACTGTTGTTCTGTGAAAAATAATACATTAATTAACAAATAAGAATCTAAGAATAAACTCTGTGTTTTGCATATCCACAACTATATACCTACTTGTGTCCCATCCTGTACAAAAGAAGACAAGAATTAATAATCCTCTTTCTTTTCATTTTTTCCTGATGTCAGGGTGTTTTCTTTTCATCATCAAAAGGAAAAACTTCAAGGCAAAAGTGAATACGGTTAGAATGAGACTGGACAAGGAGACCAGAAAGGCTGCCTTTCTTGCAGGTCCTTCCTAAGAGCATCAAGACACATGTATGTATTTTAAAAGTTCCCAAGAAACACTGAGTAGGTAGAGGCATGCTACCACAAACTCTTCACCATTTCAACTGAAGCGATGTTTTATCAACTGAAAACTCTGCTGTGATTTCATGGAAGATGGCACGTTATATTCTGTAGGTTGAACGCTGCACAACTTCAGGGTGATGGGGTGTGCCATAAACTCCTGGTCTATGTAAACACCCTCTCCCAGAGTTATGCACAGCTCAAACTCTGTATTTGGGTATAAAAACCATGTGTTTTCACACAGATGGTGTTTTATACAAACGTATAGTTTCAAATATCATGTGGTTATCATGATTAATACTGAAAGACTATAAATGAAAACAACCAATCAAATACAATGACCTGTGGCTATTGGTCAAGAAGAGTTGTATTTGGCTAATTTGTGTGGAGTAAGAAGGTACCGTGAATAACTGCATGGAAATAATTAGGGAATTAAGAGAAAACAGACCTGGGAAACGTATCCCAGAGGAATCTGATTTGCTCTGAATCCCTGCACTGTATAAAAGTGAAGTTTGGGGATGATTCTGATGTTTGATCAATATGTTTGTGCTCTTCTAATTTTCCCATTTCCATTCTATCTTCCAACAAGAAATGTTTTACTTCATTTCTAAAAAACTATTCTTTCTCATGTTCCAAGCTATCATATAAAAAGCTGACTTCATTCTCATGGTTGGGTCATTATAATAACAACCCATTGCTTGCATTCATCATCACATAACAAATTGTGTAGATAAATATAACAACCACATGGAGGCAAAAGAGAAATATAAAGAAAAGTAATACAGTAAATGTGGATTCAGAATCATCACATAAACACTAACTCCAAGAAATAAAAAGAATAGATTATATTATGCAATTTAAAAGGAGAAATACCAATAAGTTTTTAAATAAGCATTTCAATGCATCACATATGAATGTTTTATATACAATATATATAAACGAAAGCATATATTTCCATAATCTGTGATTATGTGTTAAAAATACAATAACATAAAAATTGAATAGAAATTCAACTAGAAATACAAGTGTTTATGTTTCTAGTAAACAAATTAGATTCCGCTGTAAGAATATTTTCTTGTGTGTGTATGTATTGTGAGCATTTACATCTCCCTTATAATAGCAAGACTGAGGTGAATAAACAATGTTCATGTCATTATGTATTTCTTTGTACCTTACCTTATTTCAAAAACAAAACCAAAAACAAACGTGGCTGTTTAAAGTGATGCCTATGAAATAGCAAGATACCAGCAATTGGCAGAGCATTTGAAAGGAGCAAGAAAAACAAAATGTTGACATTCTTGCTCGTCTAAATATAAATTAAATGTTACATAAAGAACAATCATTGTTTCCATGCCTCTGGTTCTATTTTGTTCACTTGTTTGTTTTGTTCGTGGAAACAAGGAACAGACTGAAAATGGCCAGAGGGGAAGGAGGAGAGAGATAGCGGGGAAAGAAGGGGAAGCCTGTAGTCAAGGGACAGGTTTAAATGACCCATGGATGTGAACAACAGGGCGGGCATGACTGTTGGTTGGAAGGGAACAGGGCTGGGAAAAGCAACAGGGAAAAACGGGGACAACTGTAATAGAACAACAATTTTTTTTAAAAGAACAATAATAGGAAACAAAAGAGACAGTTTCTCACTCTAGAATAAAGGATTTAGACTGGAGTCAAGAAATAGCTTTCTGAGAGTGAACTGAAACAGGTCACTATGTTATTTGAAGATATTTAGAAATAGAATAAAATCTCATCTCTCTCTGCTCCGTAAGAATTGATCCTACATAGGGAATAGTTTAAGGACTGATGAAGATTCCTCCCTTCTGCCCTATAATTATCTAATTCTATGAAGAATATTGCCTCACTCAGTCTTTAAACAGTCTTACCTGGTAAAGAGAAGATAACAGGAAAATGGAATTAAAAATGTGACCTGTATTTCAGTATTAGGTACCCTGCTTTATTGGGAGTTCTGATTATAATTCAATTATATTTGGGTTTGTAAAGTGATACAATTTGAAATAGCTAAAATTAATACTACAACTACTTTTACATTTTCCATTTACCATCAAAGACAAAAATTTATACATATATATATATATACCAACTGAAATTAGGTTGTATATAAATTATATTATACTTAATTTTGTAAAGGTGATTATGATTTCTCTACATTCTATTATAATCTGTCTTTATTCACATTTTTATAACATCTGAAACCAGAGGTTAGGTTGCTAAATAATTATCTAAAACCAAATAGTTCCTTGCAGGAGAATACATAATTTACCTGATTTGTTAGACACCCAAATAATTGCTTCTGAAGACACATGGCTTCTATTTCCTACCACAATAGTTAATGGAATCTGCCACAGGTAACTGCAAAATAGAAGAGAAGCTTTAAGAATAAAAATAGTTATAACAAATAAACAAACAACATGTATTATGCATCTTCTTCATGATTTTTATTATTCTCTTTAAGGAAATTAAAAAATTCCTTGGTTATAAAAGTAAAAGGAATATGTCAGGAAGATGAATTTACTCTCTCTTTTCTTTTTAAGATTTCTTTCTTCATTTATTTTTAGAGGGAGGGGAAAGAAGGGAGAAAGAGAGGGAGAGAAACACCAATGTGTAGTTGCCTCTCCCAGTGCCCCCTGCCCGGGACCTGGCCCGCAACAGAGGCAGGTCCCCTGACCGGGAATCAAACCCTTTGGTTCACAGGCCAACACTTAGCCACATCAGCCAGAACTGAATTTACTCTTTCAATGTCACTAACCAGACTTGGCTTCGAAGAGTTTTAATTTCAATTTAAAAGGAGGACTCCCTACAAAACAATTTATCTTGGGGGGGGGAAAAAACAGACTTGCATTTTGTATTAAGAATAAAAAGTAGATAAAATTTCTAAATCTGAGTCACACCATTTATTAATTAAAGTCACATCCTTTCTACTTGTTTCTGTATTAGATTAGCAGACATTTCAGTGGTTTCATGCATTTACATTTCAATATTCTCTTTATTTGTCCAACTCTTCCAAAAGATACAATTAGCATATTCTTACAGCAAGTTTAATATAGTACTCCTAAAGCAGAGTAACTGAAAAGTAGAACTAATCAGATCTCCCTAAACCCAGATTCATACTGAGAGCACTGCCAGACACATGTAATGCTCGATTTTCGGGAATGGAATCTCCAAACTGACGTGTAAAATCACCCATCCTCAGGCGGAGATCAGTTATGAGTCTCAACTAGTGCACTAAGAAGCATCCTCCAGAATTTTACTTTTTATAGGATAAAAGTTGAGGCCTATACTTGTACATGCAGTAATACCGATTTAATCTCAGATGAGTAGCTAGATACATGTTGGATCATTTTACAAGTTCAGTGACTAAATGTTGTTTCTTTCCCTAAAATATAGTCGTATTATCTTGACCTATCATTGCACCATTAGCAACAGGGTAAGCTAACAATATCCAGCATGAAAAAAATATTTTATTTTTAATATTGTTTTTGTTAAATTTATTTGGATGATGTTGGTTAATCAAACAATACAGGCTTCAAGTGTATAATCCTATGATACATCATCTGTACATGGCCTTTCGTGCCCACCACCAAAAGTCAAATTTTCTTCCGCCACTACTCCCTTGAACCCTGTTACCCTTTGCTACCTCTGAACCCCCTCCCTTCCTGTAACCACTTTCCTGTGGTCTGTGTCTATGAGTTTGTGTTTGTTTTTCCTAATGGTTCACTTGCTGCTTTCCATTTTATATGCTTTGTGTGACTGAAATCATACGGTTCTTAACTTTTTCTGACTTATTTTACTATTTCTTATTTAACAAATGTAAAAAGAGATATTGTGTGAGTTCCATACATGTGGAGTGAATGGAAAGCTGAGGATTTTGCAGCGAATATGTCTGGAGTTATGTAACTAAAATCATAATGAACATGTTCTTGGAGATCTGAGAGGGCAGGGCATGTTCTCCATGGAATCTGTCACATGGAATCTGTCACATGGAATCGGATTATTTTATCATCTCCTGTTTTGCATTCACAATAAAGAGAACTCAGCAATCATACAAAAGCCAAATAGAAAATTGAAAGAAATTCATAATTTATTTAACTGCTATCTCCAATATAGAAAGTCAAAGTAATATGTTTAATATTCTAAGTTTTAAAAATGATATGCTCTACTTCATCAGTTTTTGAGTGTCAACCCTATGGACGCCTAACACTATATAGAGTGCAGTGGACTCCACAAAACAGACCAGGAAATAAATAATCTACAGAAGCAAAACATGTCTTATTTCTTTAGGAAGAAGTGAATGAACACAACTTGTGTAAGGTTTTTAACAAAAACCTCCAAGCTCCTAACATAATGTTAGGAATGTGCCACAAATGTTTACTAATGGATTTACTAGGAAGAAAACACAGAGAACTGATGTATTTATTTGATAGTCATTCTGTTTAAAAAGACTATTTTTGATTAATTAGAATAACTAGTTAAGAAACAACAATGCCTGGCTTTGGGTCTGATTTTAAATTTAAACTATGCACATATTTCATACATGAGATATTGCAAAAGCCCGGAAATCCCATAAACTGTCATTGTATTAGATTGAGGTAAAATAAAAGGGACCAACTAAATCTATAGGTAAGACCAAGATTAACTTTATGCACTTGACTTTTTAGTACTTGTTCCCACATTCAGTTGGGTCCATAAATTGTGAACTCAAATAAGTGTCAGTTAAAGGGCACAAAATATGTAAAATTAAAGATGTAAAAAATCCTCAAGGGTCAATGTTTTTTTTTTATATCATGGTCATAAACATGTTTGTGAAACATTGTTTGCCACTAATATAACAAAAAAGGACAGATAAAATTGGTATTAAAGCTTCAACCACAATGTCACAGTGAAATAAAGGATCAGTAACACAAAACTGAGTACTAAATTTTCAACTGCAAGCCATATTTTTTCAAAATAGAAAGTAATTTATAAGATTAATGGGATGCCATGCATTATCTTACTCTAAATATTTTATATGCTAAGGTTCAGAATCATCTGTATGGTCTTAAAACTCAAGTACAAGCAAAGTTCTGTAGAAGTCCCATATAGTTTTACAGCCTGGGAGAATTTTTTCCTTTAAAGTGTCAGTCTAATACATCAGATGCATGTTACAAGTTGACAGCGTATTTTTGTTCAAAATTTGTTCTGTCATCTGCATGTCCTTTATGTTTTTCTGCCTCAGTGATGCTTGTATCAGACTGATCATTTCCAAAGGCATAGCTGAATCTCTCTAACTTTGCTACAGTCAAGTAGTTTTTATGTACTTCTGGCAAGCCCCGAGGTTACGCCTAAGCAGGTTTTAGCATGGAGCCAGGCGGTAGATGATCAGAACAAGCATTGGGTAGCTATGAGAATTCCTGAGCTGGATGAAGAATGACAGACCCTGACATTGTGGCAGGGTGACACATGTTCTGTGGTTCTGGACAGTTGGATTGCAAGGGCAGTCAGTGGAAGACCAATATATATATTAGGCAGGGGACTTAAGACAATGCTTTTCTAAAGAGGATTCCAAATTTAGTCACCAGAAGTATTACTAAATTTCTCGATGACTTCTTCTGTAGCCCATCTTGGAGCTAGGCTACTTGAGAACAATTTCTCTTCTTCTTAGTGATCACAAAGAACACTTAATCATGCTTCACACCTCCTAGATGCTGGTGAGTGATAAAGTCAGGCGTTTAATATTACAAGGTAATAGAAGACAGCACAACCAACCTAATTCAGACACGTTTTTTATTTACTAATTTTAACCTCCATCTTTCTTTGTTCCTCCAACCTCTTATCAGAGTACCTAATAAAAAAATGAAATTGAGTGATAAAGATCTACTATCTTTCCTTGGCTCAGCCTTTAATAAGACATAAAATGCTAAGAAAACATGAAGAAAAAAAAGAAATACTTGGTGCTGAATTACCAGTAATTAAATGAGAGTTGCAAAAGAAAGTTAAAGTATCAAGAATCAAAATCCTATGTATGTTTGTCTTTTTAATGGTTTGAAACACTAAAAATTAGGGAAGAAAATAAGTGGTATTGATAGTTTGACCATTTAGAAATGAATCTAGTTTGAGTTTCTTTGACTCAGACACTATTTAGTCTAGTGGGGTTTTTTCTTTCTTTTTTTTAAACTGATCTTTCTGGATTTTTAGTTTCTGTTGTCATCTATTTTATTAATCACAGTGCGCTTAATTCCATTCTATCACATCAATGCATCTTTCTTGAATTCAACATTTACAGGGGAAAACCACCACACACTATTTTCTTAAATCATCATGATAACTTAAATTCTGTCTTCCTAAACAAAGCAACTTTGCTGTGGTGTAATCTTGATGGTTAAAAACATCTGGAAAGGGGAGTCAAAGAGGAATTAAAATATAAATACCATAATGTAAATTAAGAAATCAAAACTACATTTTGCTTATAACATTTCAGAATAGTGTTATCAATGCTTTTATAACATGAAAATACCAAGGGCAATGTAAGAATAAGAGAATTTTTTTCATGGAACGAAGCATTGTACCTGTTGTTCTGAAGTGCAAGTCCTTTAGTTTTGGTACTGATGTCATAAATAAAATGCTGTTGGGTGATTATGATCCAATTTTCTGCTGTTGTGTTTCCCAAGATGGTGATAACAGGATAGCCCATCTGGAGTGTCCACTGATCCATTACTTCTTGTACATTTACATACTTTCCATTTCTTTTTAAAGCCTTTATAACCAAAATTGTATACATTAGTTTTATAAACATGAATTATAAACATAATTACACCCAACCATTCTTATGTTTACCTTTATGATTCACCTGAATATAAAAACATTTAAAATCAGTGAAGCTAATATACTGTTAGAAAAATTACTCTTCTTGCCTTTTCTTCATATATATATAATGTTTCATATATACCACATTTCATATAAGTTTTTTACTTAATGGAAGATAAAACATTTTATTATTAAGGCAAGTACTTGCAGCATCATTAAGTATCTGCAGTATGTTTAGTATCAAATTTAAATTTGCTATTCTCATATCAAAACAATTTCTTTATATTGTAAATATTTCTCTCTTTGACATGAATATCTGATACCATATTAAAATTATATTTCAGAAGTATTATCATGTTTGAAAGTAGGCAAGATATCTTTTACTACTACTTACAGTTTAATTTTGAACACTATTATCTTTATGATATATATGTAATATATAAAAAATAAAACAAGAAAGCAATATGATAAAAAGAGCAGTATAAAAAACAAAAACAAACTGTCAGTGTCCATAAAATTTATGATTGCTTTATAAACTTAATTCAAGTATTCAAGAAGAGGTTTTTGTATCTGAGCTTCCTATACGTTACCTCAGAAAGAGTATTCCAGAGATCATTTCTGGCAGCATTGCCATACTTATGAATGGTTAAATAATCCTACAAAGAATGCAAAATTGTAATTACAATTCAAAGGCTAAACAATTTCCAGTAGACACTTTTATTTCTTGGTGCAATTAACCATTTCCATGTGTTGGAATTGCATTAACAAAAAGAAAGACCTGGAGAAAAATGAAGAATCTCATTTTGAAATATTCCAAAAATATTTAACTCTAGTGTATTTCTTACATAGTCAAAAAATCTCTTAAAAGTTAATCTCTTAAAATTATTTTCATAGCCCTAATCACTCCTTAAGGATTTCCAAGGTCGAAGACCTTCCTCTGATTTAACAAGTCAACTTTGGGGAATTTTAAGAAACTATCTCTGCAGTGAAATATATTAGGTGAATGTTTCCCATAGGCTTTTATGTTGAGAGGTTGAAATTATTTTTTTGTTATAGAATTTAAAAAACAGAACCCAAGTGATATATATGCAGATGTGTAGAGGAATTGCTTTGCCAAAAGGGTGATGATTATCTCTACAACCTGTCAAGTTTCCCAGTCTTTCTGCAAAGAACAAGCTGCCTAATACAAAGTGATACATACTTATTTCCGTGAGTTTGAAACACATACTAATATTTAATCAGAAAGAGACAATCCCAAATTTATTTCACACTTTGGGGCTTAGGACTTCCCATTTCCCATTTTCAATCATGTGTAGGTAAACCTGCACACTGATTCCTGTCTGCTCTTTCACGTGAGGCACGGTTATGTCACTGCGAATGTGCTATTGAGTCATGGCTCTTTAGCGTTATGTTTTTCTGAATCCAAAATAGAAAATCAGGTTTTATTTTATAAAACCAAGAGTCACTTTCTTCATTTGAAATTCTGTCATCTCTACAACGTGTAGGTAGTACGCAAAGTGCTAATTTACATCACAGTACTGAAGCTAAAAAAAAATTCGCTGACTACTTTCTGTACTTTATTTAGAGTAGAATACTTTGGAGATAATTAAGGTTGGGGAAGCAAATTTTCTGAAATACAAATTACAGCACCTGCGACAGAGTCAGCTTTGTCGGCAGCTCGCAGCCTAGCAAATAGCAACTCTCACTCGATCGGACTGCTAGAGCTACAATGCCCAACATTAGCTTAGCAACTGCAAACTCATCGTCATCATCAGGTGTTATGAATAATTTTGTGGAAGAAATACAACCCAGAATAGCCAATGTGAATCCCAATTCTGACTCTGAACATGCCATCTGAGGCATTTTCAATTAGTATCCAGGGACCTGAATTCAAATAAATCATTTCAGATTTTTCAGAATTATCTTTTATGATTTTGCATCACTTAAATGAATAAATTTAGGAACATCAAAATTATAAAATATAAATTTAAATTTTAGTGGTTCTATAATAAAAGTATTAAAGTTAGAACTATTTATTATCGATTTTGGTTTATGAACAGTACTGCTAGACTAACCCAAAATAGGGAAAAAGGAATACTACATGCACCTTGAAAGGTCGGATATATAACTACACAAATTTCTTCATAGACAGATCATGAAAATCCAACTGTTCATGAGATGAGTTGACTGGCCTAATATGGATTATCAACCTGATCTCTTGGTTCCATCCCCAGTTAAGAATTAAGTGCAAATTTACATTGCGAGCAGGCTGAAAGAGCAATGACCCAGTCTGAGGAAGCAACTTCAATTTCCCACTCAGTATTCAGGGCAAAAGCATGCTTTCTTAGACTCCCTGCAGTCTCAATGTTCCAGTATCATTGGAATTGAACCTAGGTCTACTCTCATTCCACTCCTCAAAAAGCCCCAAATGTTTTCATTAGTTATTTTAGCCTTACTCTTGCACACACACACAGGTAAAATTTTAAATTAAGGTAATTTTGCTTTGTCTTTGTAGAATTACAAAGAAAGTTTAAGAATAGTGAATGTAATTTTTTAATAATTAATCACTTATTCATTCATGCACTCCACAAAATGCATCATGCACTTTCATTTGCCAGGTAGCTTTCCAGGTGTTGGGGAAACAGTGATGGAAAAAGGGTTACTTAGAACAACTGCAAATACTGGGATGTGATTTGTGGAGGAAGGCTTGTGACTGAAACTTCAGAAGTCTTTGTATGATAACCACTTGACAAAATGAAGTCAAACATTTGGTATAAGATTAAATAAGATTTCAACTTGAAATAGTTCCTTTCATACCTACAATGAATATGAAAGCTAGAGTTACAAATCTAAAACGGAAATTTGTTTACATTATGTGTATGAAGGTCAACCAGCAGGAAATTTAACATGATGATATGCAGTAGAAGAATGTTTTAATATTAACCATTAAAAGAACTGTGGATTTTTTACACAAAGTTTTTAATTAGTTGCAGAATTCTTGAAAAGAATAAAGCAAAGATAACCACTGAGGTACTCTTAGGGACATAACCCAAGATGTAAACTGATTAAAAGTGAAAAGCATAGTAAGCAAAACTGTATTCTCACACATAAGTTAAGGCTCCATGGCTGCCGCAATCCTGGGCATTCAGATACAACATGGCACAGCGGAAGAAAACAGATTTTCTTCCTGAGAATATCTTTTTTTTTTTTTAATTTCAAGAAAACTTCCCTTCAGATGCTGCATCCAACTCCCCATGTTTCCCATTTGTCAGAATTGCATCATGTGCTCCAGCCAAAATCTGTTCAAGAAGCATTAGGGAGAACTGTGTTGAGCCAACATAGATAGGACCGTGTCCTGTGAAGTATGTGGCTGTATAGAAGAGGGTGCGAACCTGAACAAAATCAGAATCGGTTAACAAGAAGAGACTAGGTTCTGGGTAGACCCCAACACTTATGTCCAAGGAGGCAGGAGATGCAAGTCCAGGTCTCGGTGATGCTGGGAGGGAGGGTTCCTTCTACTTAAAAGACTAGTCTGGGAATTGCCAGGTATATTCAGGCATTGATTTTTCTGACTATGTGACAACAAGGTTGAAGCAAGGGTATGAAATATTGTTTCTTTCTGTTAAGAATAAAAGTACCTCAGAAAATTTGTAGTGGGCATATTTTACTCTTTTGGCTTCCCAGCACTTAAACACCACTTTTCTATGGGGGCAATAATTCACCATGGAATGGTGGAGGAAAGTGAGAGTTCTGCCTCCCACTTGAAATGGAAGGAATCAAAATTCTAAATACTCCCTCTCTAATCTCCCTTGCTAAAAGCTCGGACATGTTCCCTGGCCTCAGAGAAGTCCATACTTCATCCCAGAATTATGAGTCCTACAGGATCCAAGAAACAAGAATAGCTGAAAGATTATTCCCTGTGATTTTGACAGCTAGGTTACAGAGGCAACCAGCGGCACTAATAGCAGCAACCGACCCAGCCAGCCCTGCACACAAACTTGGCTAGGTTTCTTAAATTCGGAGTCTCCCTCCATTCCTGCTGTCTGTTTTCTAAGCCTGATCCTTCAGCCTTCCCCACGATTCCAGGGGCCAACTTCCATCCTGCTGATAAATTTCTTTTTGCTTAATTTGGCTGGACTTTATTTTCATTGCATGCAACCCCAAACACTAATGGGAGATATACACAAAATAAATAGACATTTTACATTTTATTAAACCCCGGGAAGAAAATAGAAATTATTTCTCATAACTTATACAAAATGAAAAACGAAGAATACCCAGTTCTGTTTTGTAAATCTACTAGTCTTTTAATGTGGTATTAACTTAACAGTAGTAATTGGGAGGAAGAAGTAGATAGTCAAATTAAAAAAAAAAAGAGGCAGACAAGAATGGTGGAGAAAAAGGTATGAAAGTTCCATGGACAGGAGTGCACATGGGTAACAGCAACAACACCACAAAAGAAATCATGGTAAATTTTGTCTTAAACCAAGTATAAAGGACACAGGGAAAAAAACAAGGGGGGGGGTGTGGAAATGGGAGGGACGTGGGGAGGGCTGGGGGGGGTGGGCTGGGATGGGAGTAAAAGACAGAAAACTGTACTTGAACAACCATTAAAATTTTAAAAATAAATAAATAAATAGGAAAGCTGCTGGTGTAGGTGTTTTAAAGACAGAAATATAAGCTCTAAAATTAAAAATGTGGGCATATATAAATTTGGTAAGGTGAACTTGAAAGGATTTGTTGACAACAGCAATAGCAGATTAAAAGCTGCCAGATCACAGCAAGGTCGCATGAGGATTAGATGGAACCCGTTCACAGCCTGGTCCCGTGCACTTCAAGGAGCGTTTCCTCTTTCCCCGACCTTGAGAAGCAGAAGTGAGGATACTAAAGCAATGACAGATAAACAACTAAAACATGAGAAAGCTAAACTGCAGATTAAGATATTATTTTGCTTAATATTTGAAGACTTTTTGGAGATTATGCGATTAAGTAAAAATGTGTAGCAAAACATTGAAAAAAGCATTATGCAAAATAAAATAATCTTTCTATTTTCATTCTGTTAGATAAGAACCAAGAATAAAACATATGAATAGCTATTTAACACTTATTATTAAATAACAAATTTCCAAAAAGGACACCCAGTCAAATGGAAACCATTGACCAATTTTTTGAGGTTTGGCAGTTTCTACATACCAGACACAATAAAAAATGAAGTGGAAATTTAGAAAAGAAAGTTATTTGAATACATAGAACAAAAGTAGTTGAAAATTCAGTTATATATATCATTGTTTGCATGCCATTGTGATTTTCAGTTTTTAAATGTGTAATCCAAATTTACTTCTAAAAGTAGCTTACTTAGATATAGAAGTATACAGCTATTTCTCTGGGAACAAAAAGGTATTTTAGATGTTTTAAAAATCCATTATTCCATCTACACAGTGTATATGTGGTAAAATCAGTAGATTTTCTTAAGGGGTTGCAAAATACACCAGATAATCAATATTTTTAAGTCAAAACAATCTGCAAGCACGTGAAAGATTTTTTGTTTGTTTAAGTTATAGACTGCGGCATATTCTCACATCAGTTTATCTTTTTTTACATATCTCTTATTTAGTAATCACAGATCTTGCCATCAATGCCCCAAAGCACAGGAACA